ACAACCCAGCCAGCACCCAGAATGGACCCCTGATAGAGGATGAGGCTCCTGTGTCTCATTCCTCCCCTCTGAGAGAGCACGCTCACCCAGCGGGTAACCCCCACGCCCCCCTGAGCCCGGGGCATGCCCCGGGCGCAGAGTGACAATAGGCTATCACACAGAAACACACACACACACACATACCCTGAGCCATCGGCCACCCTCCGACCTCCAGCCCGTGTGCCTTCGCCCTGTGCACTCTACCCCAGAAGACTGCCCAGGCGGTAACACCCCTTCCCCCCTTATCCCCAATTGCGAGTGTGACCAACCGGAACTAGAAAAACCAAAACCACGAATCCAGCAAATACAAACGTTCACGACGGCCAAATCACCACTTAAAACAGTGGAAAATAACAAAAGTCTGACACAACACGCACGTCACCAAGAATTGGCAACTCTATCGGACAAAGGACCGACAATGACGGACGAACAAAGTCCGAGCGTGATATTAATATCTTCGCAGGAAATGGAGGAAAGCCTCGAAGAAACAAAAAATATGTCTCTGAAAGAATTAATCCGGTATGAACAAAAAATCCTAGAAAAAGAACGCGCACTAAAAGAAAAGTGGCAGCTTCAACAAATTATAAAAAATATCGCGCAAAGCAAGAAAAGACAAGCGGAATACGCTAAAGCGATCGATACCGGAGAAATACTGGATCTAACCGAAACAGCTTCCGGAGAACATCCATATTCTCTACGTAAACAAACGTGGGATAAAGAAACGTACACTATCGTTCACGACATAACGCCAGAACACCAGGTACCGGACTACGATACGGACGAACAAATCCTCATAATCGCTGAAGAGGAACCATTTAAAAGAAAACATCCCAAGGGGCATAAACAGAAAATGTTTACACGATCATCCACGGATGAAACAAGCGAGCAAGAGGACAGCGAAGAAAGCTGTACATCGAAACAGATGAACAGGAAACAAAACAGGAAACCCAAACACCGTCACAAGAAACAAGACGGGGAAATAGACAAGAATTGTTCCACAAAAAAGAAAACCGCTTGAGTAGGAAACGTGACCCAGTAACGGGAAGATTCGTGCCAAGGAATAAAGAAAGAGCTAGAATCACACTAAGGCGCGACCAAAATCGAAGAAAGTTAGAGTTTGAAAGAGAACTCATAGAAAAAGCCATCACGCAAAAGAACAAAAGATATACAGAGGCTCCAAAGGAACCATCAAAAAGGAGAAAGCTTCATAGTTTTCATCCGGAAGCAATTAGCACTCCAACCGAGATATCATCGGGGAAACCACCGTCAATGTCCACGACGGTGAGAATAAAATCACTCACGCCAGACAGTTCAGCAAGTAAACTGGACTGGACAAGAAGTGGAACTGGACAGGAGGAAAAATCAACCGCCAGTTCACAAACCAAAAGGTCAGAAAAAAGGCACTCAGTGCGAAAAAATATACTGTCACGATCAAAAAGCTCACAAGAATCAGAGAAACCCAGCACAAGCACGGGAAAAAGAAGTGACAGAATACCAAATTGGTATGCAAGACCATCAATAATAGATGACGACTCAGAATCAGATGACCAAGCGGTAGCAGCGTCACAACAAAAAATCACCGCAGTGAAGCCCAAAGGTGAAAGACCAAAAAGCTACCACAAAAGTAGCGATCAACAAAGCGTTTCCAAATTAAACGCATATAAAATACCAAAAAAGACAAAACCTGTGAACATCAAGCCGAAGTCAACGACAGGGCCAAAGTCTAGGACAGAGCTGAAGTCGAACGGCAAGCGAGTCAATCTCTCCGGAAAGACTCTCCGGAAGACTCCTGAAACCAAACCCGCAGAACAAAATGGCGATACCAGCCACACTAAAGTGGATCACCGCATAGACGTGCCCAGCCACGATTCAAAACAATTGGACCGTGGAATCCAGGAAGGGCAACGCAAAAACACCGACGACCAAACAACCACCGACAATACGCAGGAGAACCCCGATCTTTCCAAGGAAAGTCGACATCACTTGTCGGGCGGGGGAAGCGTGCGACCGCTGCCGAGGTCGCAAGACCACAAATTAAGTGGTACGGCGGGGGAGGAGCCGGTGGGAGCAGAGGCGGTGAGGCAAGAGGAGCAGCTGGCGAGAACCACTGATGAGGAGCCGGCGGAGGAGGTAGCAAAAGTGTCGCGGGAAACCGATGGCGTCATGCAGAGATTCTTGGACAGAGTGAAGGGAAAGGTGAGCGAGGAGCTTCTCCGGGATCTCTTGAAGGTACTAGAAAAGGAATAAACGGAACCGTCCAAACCACGTGATAAGACTGATAGTACTTAGGCGGGGGTACGATA